TCTTCAAGACTCAAAACCCAAAGACTTTTGGCAAAACTTCAATTTGGCAAACACTTCAGTAAAAGTGCCTTTGATGTAGCACTACTGATTTCAGTGGAATTACAGCAGGGATCATTATTGTCCATTTTGTAAGGCACAGAAGAGCATCATTACCCTGAATAGTCCACATCCAGTAGTGTTTCTCAAGAGCAGGCACATTCTACTGGAGGAGGCTCTCTTAGGTCAACTTTTGACCTTTGTTTCTCCTCAGGATTATCAGCTTCCTTGAAAATTACACAGCAGACAGAGGAGTGCTCCACTTTAGCAAGCACTGCTCACAAGGAGAGAGAGTACTGATTGCCCCTCTACCCACTTGTAAATACAAAAAAAGCCCCAAAACTTCTTGAAGGAACTACCACAAAAGATAGCAGCACAGCAAGAACTGGATTTTATATTGTTGTAAAGAGTCAAATGGCAAATCTGACAAATGCATCTGGGCCTCAGGCTAAGACACTGCCACACTTCATGTAGGACTGGAAATGTTATTCTTTCTGAGCAATGTTTATGAAAGTAGGTCCAAAATCAGCAAGACTTTTGGGTAGAATTAATCACCTTTCACAAGCAGGGAGGCCAGGGGTGGCATGTAATGGGCATAATGGTATATGAAAATGGTGCTAAAAAGAATTACTTGCTATAAAAAAATGTTCCCCAATACTTAAACTTATGATGCAACATTAAGACAAAATTCAGCATTAAAAGTAAAGATTTTCTTTTCAGTACAGCATTAATTCTACTATGTGCATTTGAGGGTCTATGCATTATTTCATTGCTAGCACTAAATGTAAACAACTTAAAGCCCTTGGGCTTTAGTGTCCTGAAGCATGAAACTGGAATAAATAGCATGTAAGGGAGCTGTGCACCACATTTATGGCCATCACTGTGTCTACTGCCTTCAAATAATTTGGCATGATTTCTTTCTGTCCTGTCCAACATCTGTTCACTTATTTCTGTCCTTACCATGATCTGTTCACAGAATTGTGATCTGTTTTTTTCCTTTTATTGCATGGTGCAGAAAAGTCGCTCTGCTTTCCTACACTTGAACAAAATAAACGTGGACCTGCCAGTTATCTCTGTGATCTCACTTGTGTGCAGAGAAACCAAATCACCTGAGAGCAGTGGTGACCTAGAGCATCACAAGCCCTGTGCCCTTTCCACTTCAGTAACAGGGAGCCCTTTTAATGACATGACATAATTTCTGCTGAAGGATTTAGCCCTGAAGATATTGTACTCTTGCAGTAAATGAAGGAATACTTATACCAAACTGTACACAGTGTAGCTGTTGTCGTACCAGTGAAATGGTGCCTTCTGAAAGTACAGCATATTCATATTCCAGTATTGGAATGAGCTGTGCAAATACCTGTATTTTTACAATAGTACATCTGGCCACTCTTGGAGCCCTCTATCATTTTGACAATGTCTATAATCCTACAGCACAACTTCGGTGCATAAGGAAGATCCAAGATGCAGCACAGAGTTAAAGCTTGTAACAGACAGTGAAGGAGGAGCAATGCTGAAATACTAGCTTGTAGCCATTTTAATCACAGACTGTTAAGTAAAGCAAATGCACAACATTGTTAAGCAGGGGTAACTCCTACAGCTAGCTATTTTTGGGCTCCATCCTCATGCAAGCATTCTCCTTTTAGCAGATTTGAGAAACACCTCCTATTCTTCCTGGGGTAATATTTTGCAAGATTTTTTTCAAGAAGCACAACCCAAATTTTATAGCTGAGGAGGACAGATGGCAGCAAACCATCTTTTGTTTCCAAGCCGCATCTGGCTCTGGTTTGC